GTACTAATCATGGCTTAATATGCGACTTGCACAACTGTAGTAACTTGAGCCTGCCGGTGAACATAGGCCTACTGAGTGAGGGTGCACTGTTCACTAAACCGTCACATAAAGTAACAATATTTGCATATTCATAGATGATGCATATTAATCATCCATATTGAAACCATATTAAACTTACATTTATATCCAACGCAGAACATTTACATAATGTCAAAAATACAGTGAATCTTTTAACTATTATTTCACTGAAACAAATGTTACAATGATACTTTAGATATGCTCAGTGGCGACTGGTCATTAGGGGCAGGTGGGGCACAGCCCCACCTAGTGTCAGCAGAAAGTATTACAAATAATGATTACAAAAATGCAAAAAAAAAAAAAAAAAAATATATAAAATATATTTTAAGATCATGTTTAATCATCTGATTCGTCTGTACATTGCTGTTTTAGTCTGTGTTCTTCTAATTAGTGTGTCTACAGTCACAGTGTGTGCCTATTGAGCTGTTTAGAGCCATGTGGGACAAAACCTGATTATGCCCCTTCCTCTCGCTGTGAAGTCAACGGTGACTGTAAAAACTTCACTGCGCATGCTCAGAGTATTTTGTAATGAAATGTGTGTGGCAAAAAAATAATGACCAGAGGGGCATGGAGCTACCATCCCCACCATACGTCATCTCAAATCATTCAGAGCTGATTGGCTGTAAGTACGTGTGCCGCGAAAAGTGTGCTGTGTGAAGAGGAGACGAGAGAGCTGCAGTGGCGCGTCCTAAAACCAGGAAGTAAGCTGCAAAAAAGCAATGAGATTTCTCCAGAGGATTTTAGAAAATAGCTCGAAATAAGATCTGTGGGAAACGTACCTGTTAGATAAATGCACGTTTTGATTAGCCGGATAACATCCACATGTCTACCCTACTTATATAATTTTTTTATCATAAATCTATGGATTAGATTTATGATAGACTTTTGAAACTACAAGAACATAAGGAGGACTTTTACAAAAAAGTAATAGAAATGTTTGTCCAGAAGGATAGGCAAATGGACTTCATCTTCAAGTCAAGGTAAGACCGCCATTTTATTGAAAATGGGATCTTACTAAGAGAGAACAATTCAATATTTAAATGATAAAATGACATTTTTTGGGTATCCTTTTGTTGAACTGTCTGTTTAAAATTAATCGAAGCATCAGACAAAAAAAGCTTTTGAAAATAATATTATATTTTGGTTTAGGTCAAAATATAATATTTGTAAACCTGAAGAGTCAGTGCCAGTGCCTCACCAGCCATGAACCTCACTGCACGTCACTGCAGAAGCTTATATATAGACATCTAAGTTTTTTGTGCCCCACCACTTTTGTACATATAAAAACGCCACTGGATATGCTACACACTGCATTGTATGGTTGTTGCCATGTTAAAGTCACATTATTTTGAACCCTCACAGTAAACATTTTTGGAGAAGCCTGTGACCTAACATTTTCAACGACATAATTACTCTGTAGCTATGTTAGTTTGACAATAAAGAACCTTGAACCTTGTAGGCCTATTGTAGTTTTTGTAGGCTACTCACCTGTCAGGTGTGATTCTTGTGCAGCAGGAGGTCCTCCTCATTATGATACAGGCTCAACTTGCTCGTTTATTCCCATTGCAAAAGTCCAAACATTTTGAACAGAATAGGCTCCCCATTCAACACTGTGACTGTGGTTTTCTGTCGCAAACAGCGAACAGACTATTAACAACTCCCCGAAGCTAAAGGGCCCTCGGTGAAATCAACAATGGTCCCTCGAGAGTTGTTTTAAACTAGCATTTTGGCACTAGCCTGTTAGCCAGACGGTCAGACCTAGCATGCACATGTAGGGTGTGCTTGAATTGGGTCACTTAGCGTGCTGGCCGGGTGGTGCAGTAAATCAGTGACTATACAAACAGGAACTGCCGCGAAAACTTGACGTGGATCTTATATGTATAAGCAATTAAACAACATCTTACATTTATTTTCACACAATACGTCTCCTTGCAGTATCAATACTAATTCGGCTGATTTTTATATTTGATCCAATTGGTAGATAGGCTGTATTTATGCCATAACGGTGCACAGCTGATAGAAAGGGACACCTACTGGTTAAAGCACGTTATTGCATTTTATAATTTTATTATTAGATAATTAATAGGATCCCTATAAAGTATATTCTTTACTCGTCGTTATTCTCTACTAATACTTAATTAAAGACTGTATATAATAACTATTTTGCACATCCCATTCAAGATTTCAAGATTTTCTAAGGTTTATTGACATATCATATTATACACAACTACGGTGTAGTTATGCAATGAATGAAAAACTTGGGTCGCAGGTTCCTCAACAGTGCATTACAAGAAATCTATCAATATGTGTGTACCTCCACCATTAAACTGTCATATTCTGCACATTTCTTATACTATCTACATCAGTGATTCTCAAATGGGGGTACACGGACCCCTAGGGGTACGTTGGGGTACTGCAGGGGGTACGTGAGATAAACATTTATAAAAAGGTTAATTAAAAAAATACCATGCATGATTACAAAAATAATCATAGTACAATAAGTTAACACAATTTTATATAAAATATTCCTAGAACCACCAAGGGTTCAAGATCCGTTCTTGTGCATTTCTGGTGCTTAACTGGTTCTTCTCTGTTTTTACAAGTGTGTGGTCACGTTCTAGTCACTTTGCTCAGCGCTACTACTTGTTAAACAAAATGCCGTCAATATCAGGAGGCGTATGCTTTGATGGGATTCACGTCAACAAACGGCAACCCGCCCCAGGCATTGTGTTTTTTCTGTGGGGAGAAACTAGCCAACAGCTCGATGAAACCAGCGCACCTCCAGAGACATCTCAGCATCAAACACCTGTGTCATGTTGGTAAGCCACCGGAGTTGTTCAAGAGAAAACTTGCTCAGTACAGATCCTCGCAAGAGATGATGCGAAAAGCCTCCGCAACATCAGCCAAAGCACTGGAGGCATCGGATGCGGTGTCTCTTCTCATCGCTAAAGCCAAAAAGACGTACACGATCGCTAACGACCTACAACTCCTAAATAGTGTCATTGCAGTGTTATTACATAGTTTGTTTATAATTGCACTTTTTTTTTCTTGTATATTCATGGGGTTTCGGTTGGTATAGAGTGGCGAAGTCACGCCCATCTACTGTACTTCCGGTCCATGGGACCTTATTTCGGAAAAATAATGCATTGAAGTCAATGGAGAGAGAAAACTTATCTTTCGATCCCGTTTGAATTGTGCCATGAATTACACATATGATGTTTGTCAATCTTAAAAAATAATTTCCATGTCAAAAAAGTCACAGTTTGTCGTAAAACTGTTGACATATAAGACTATGAAAAATACGCAACTAGAAAGACTACAAATCCCAGAGTCGCGTAAGTGATGTCACAATTGTTTTCCTCCACTAAGAGATAGCTAAGATCAGCGCCATATAGATATAATCTATCTATATGGCGCGGCTAAGATAAGATAACTTTAACAAGATGCCTGTGTGCTTAGTACCAGGTTGTTATTATACCAGCAATGGGTCTAGCTCGTTCTTTCGCTTCCCGTCTGATGAAAGGACCAGGAGTGGCTTGATCAAGCTAGCTAGTAGCTAGCACGTTAGTTAGCATTACAGCCTTGTCATTTTTATTAGCCTTAACATGAAGTAACATTAAGTAACCCAAAATGTTAAACAGTAAGAGTAGTAGTCATATTTCGTGAACCCTTTGAAGAGTACTGTCACCGGTGTGATCATTCTATAATACACAATTTAATCCCGGGGGAGAAATGCTAACGCTAACGCTAGCGATCTTCTCTACTTCATGCTATCTGCACAAATGGTTGACATTAAACATTAAAACGACCAGGCAGTTCAGAGAGAATCAAAGGAAGGCAGGCAGGCAGCTTTGCATGACATTCTTCAGGACGTGTTTCATTGTGGTGATAGTGAGGGTAGTCAATCGTTTTGTTGACAAGACAGTAGTGACGGCCATCTTGGTGACGTGTGTTGTTGACCAGAGATGTAGTTCATTGAGCGTTTCACACAAACAAATGTGTTACTTCACAGTTTTACGACACTTTTTTTTTTTTGACTTGCAAAATTATCTTTTAAATTGACAAACATCATATGTGTAATTCGTGGCACAATTCAAACGGGATCGAAAGATAATCTTTCTCTCTCCATTGACTTCAATACATAATTTTTCCGAAATAAGGTCCCATGGAGGTCCACCGGAAGGGGAGGGACTTCGCCACTCTATAGTTGCACATCAGGCACCACAGTGGATTTTATTATAATATTTGTGTATTGTATTTTATAGTTTTTGCATAATATATAATTTTGTTCATTGGTTTGTTAAACATATATTACTTAAAAATCTGTTTAAAAAAAACGTCTCATGCATAAAGATGAAAATATCCTTAGTTTGTTGTAATTCATGCATGAAGGAGTTGTCGGGGTCGGTCAGGGGGTACTTGGCTGAGAAAATGTTTCAAAGGGGGTACAATACTGAAAAAAGTTTGAGAAGCACTGATCTACATCTTATAAGAGTATAATTCATATGTATAATATCAGTTAAAATAAGTGCTTCAACATAGTTAACATTGCAGGAAAGCAATATATTAGACGTTAAGTACTTTGTCAGGCTTAATATGTATCTGTTGATACCCCCAAAGCTTTTTTCTTATTTAAAAGAAGATCTTAACCTAAAGTATTCTTTAATGTGTTAATAAAGGTTAATTAGTTTTTCTGTTTTGCACATCCTCATATTAATATCTTTATACATCCGGCACTAAACTGTTTTATTGTAGAGATCACTTACAGTATCTTCTTGATTTTTTATATTCTATATTTCTATCATTGACCTTCTACTTTCCCCCTATGTATGTACTCTTAATATTTTTTTCATCAAATATAACATTAAAAAAAGTATTCAAGAACTTGCTTTAACCACTAGGCGGTGCACACAAGGTACACCATGGACCGAGCTGCTGTGGGGTCGCCCCGCAGGACTCCCTCAGCCCCAGTATGCAACATCTCTACCTCCACCTTGGCCTTCGACCAGCACTTCACCACAACTGCCACAGGAAAACTCCACCTGGCTGAGATAGTAAGTGTGAAAATGGATTTTAAGATGTTCTCTTCAGTGTTTGAAGAGAAAATGCTATTGTTACCAAATTAGACATAAAAGAGACGACTTGATCTGCGTTTGGGTTGTTTCTGAGCTACAGTACTGCCCATATGAGATTCATGTGAATAATAGCTTAACTTTTTTCTCTCCCTTATTGTGTCTCTTCCTTTCCAAATCAGCTGAGGAAAAGAGACAGGACGGCCTCTCTGTAAATACAGTCTGGCTGGCTGCCATGCAGAGGCTGGGCAGGCCCCACTGAGTCATTTGATGACAATCAATTGAAACATGGGGAAATCCTACAAGAGTTTCTATTTGAGGAAAGTAGAAACCAACCATGCTTAAAGGCGCGTTCTTGTGATATAAAAAAAGACTTTGCACGAATCTTGTATCATGAAACAGGAAGAGCGGGTTTGGAATAGGGTTGGGTGTTCGGAATTTGGAAATGATTCATTGATCAACAAATACATTCGCTCAAAAGGTTTCCATCAACACTGACCTGAGGTGACACTCCCTTGTGGTGTTTTTTTAAGTTAGATATTTTTCAAGTGACGCTTCAAAATGCTTCACTTTGTGTTCCATATTGGTGACTTGAAAATATGTATCTGGTGAAATCAATGAGGGGTTTGAAGTGTTACCTGAATGTATTCTTTCTTTTCTCCACACTCACATGCACTCTTTCTGTCCTCTCTCCTCCAGGTGTTTGGTATGTTGGTGTGGATTCTGGTGGGGGGTACAGAGTATTTTCATCTGTCTGCTCTCTGCTGGGTGATGTTTGTTGCCGTTTTGTGCTGGGTTCTGACCATTTGCCTGTTTATAATGTACCTCACTGGAGCCCACAACAGGATACCACAGGTCCCCTGGACTACACTGGTAAAACAAACACTCACATTTCAGTTTTCGGTTTTCTTTTTTGCATTTTTACCAACTTGTCTGACTGCCTTGTCTCTTTATCTGTTGATCTTCAAGGCGCTGTGCTTGAACTGCAGTGCTACAGCTCTGTAGGCCTATCTGGTGACAGCCTTAGTAGATTCTCTCTCAGTCAACCAGGCTGTCAGGGGGAGACACAACTATAACTGCTGGGCAGCATCTGCAGTAAGGGCACTTCTCCCCAACTTGTTGTAATGGTATATGTGCTCACAAAAGATAAATCACCAGGACTCCATATGGTGTCCTCAGTGTTGTATTTTTTATACATTTTTCTTTAAGGAAAGCCTCAGAAAACAGTATTTAACAGTTTTTTTTATGTCCTTGTGACAAGTATATCAGTCTTTGTTTGTAAAAGAGAATTTCAAAATATTTTTTAAATAAAATCAAACTCGTGATCTCCTGATCCTGATTCCGATATTCAGGGTATCTTCTGATCGGACACCAGTGCTCTCTTTTCCCAGAGTTAAAAAGTATGTATCTCATTGTGTAGAACTTCCTGACTCAGCTGTCAATGTTACAAAAAGGGACACTTGTTTATTTTTTAGCAAAAGACCATTGTAGTTTCACGCTTCATTTTTGTTAATTTTTGTTTTATTTATAGTGAACAATGGTTTCGGACTTTAAATAAATGTCCTCATTTTCATTGTTTCCCCGCCCCTCTTTATTTCCACATGACCCATGTCCTTTTTTTACATTTTCTTCCCCTTTTCACCACCTCTCACACTTCAGTTATTTGCATTTCTGACCACACTGTGCAATGCAGGAAGCAGTTACCTGAGCTGCTGTGCCTGGAAAACCGCAGAAAAAGGACAGTAGTTTGTTACTTGCTGACGATGAGAAGATCTTCTCTGAGTAATGTTTCTACCTTCACAGCAGGTCAAGGCTGCAGTCAAATTAACATCATATGGTCAGCAGAACGTCATAAAGTCAGATGTCAGATGTCACATGTTTTATGTGAAGTGCAGCGATACACAAACAAATAAAAATAATATGTCCACAATCCTGCACACAGTAGTTTTCAGTAATTTTATGTTAATGCTTACAATACAGCTTTATTTATAGAGCACTTTAAACCTCCAGACCAAAGTGCTGTACAGTCAAATAAACAAAACAAAACATACAACAAATAACACAGCACAGCCCACACACCATAAAACAAGTACAAGTAAAAACAATAGACAATTTAAAAGCAATAAAAGCAACGCTCTAAAAGATGTTAATACGCTAAGGAGAAGAGGTGGGTTTTAAGAAGCAATTTAAAAGCAGACAGTGTGGAGGCCTGTCTGATATGCATGGGCAGATCGTTCCACAGTGTGGGAGCCGCTACAGAGAAGCAACGGCCCCCTCTGAGCTTTGACTTGGTTCTGGGCACGTAATCCAAGTATAATTTGCCCCTGATATACAAAATAAAGTTAAAGACATTGAGTATATACTTTTTGCGGAAGACCAGAGTGTGTTTGTTTACATACAACCAACTTGCTTTGGATTTGTTTTTTTTAATTCATTTTGCATAATAGCCACAATGTCAAACGTGCGGTAATGGGGCTGAGATTGAACATCACATTAAAATCAAAATAATTTGCATACATGTTGTCATCCTTACAGTGGGCATTCCTAAACCTATATGAGGTAATTATTAAATAAAAGTCATCACCGCTTTGTTTCCTTCATTGCTGTATAAGTGCAAACGGTTTTAATTAAAACACCGCTATTTCCAAGTATTGTCTATAAAGTACAGGTTTAGTAGATCCTGTGTGTTTCACTTCACCACACAGAGTCAGAAACTTAGCTTCTCCATTAATAAACCAGAGGTATTGATACATACAGCGATATAATATTATCATATTAAACAAACCTTATTTCATATTATTCCATGATAAAGATAAAGGTTGATTATTCCCAGTTCCTGGATCAGTCCTGGTTGGTGCTGTTGTATTGAGCCTGGGGGACGGCCCAGTGAGCAGCAATCGAAAGGAGCCCAGCAGTGTTGTGGGTGCCGCTCAAAATCACTAGCTCTTGGCCCGGGTGGGACGGGTAGAAGTTAAAGGACTTCTGTAAGAGATCATCAACAAGTTATCATTAAAGATCAGAATACTTCTTCCATCATGGTGTAATTGAAACAAACACAAATTGTAGAGGAAGGTATTTACTTGAATGGGCTGGCCGACAATCAGAGAACGCCCACTGGAGGTCACGAAGATCAGCTGATAGATGTAGTTGGTGTGGTATTTCCCAGAGACCTGAAACATGTCCGTGAGAGCACAATGACATGTTAGTGCGTGTGGTTTGTCCCCAGTGAGTAAACAAATGATGTTTGTTTTTTTAACGATAGATGAATATAGTGTTATTAAATACAGTACAGTACTAATTAAAAAAATACTACTATTCATATTTAGCCAACCTTTATTACAGATGATGTGTATGATCTTTAGAAAGTGTGTTTATAAATGTCAATACATAGTACAATGCATTATCTTGTCAATGTTCAATGTATTACTTTAATATTATAAAGTCTCTCACCTGAATAAAGGACTCTCCTTCATTCAGGATCAGCTCTTGTACAGAGTTCAATTCACGACCAAACCTTTGTCCCCAACCAAATCCATAGCGCAGCTGCAAACTGCAAGGACACAGTCAGGAGTGAGGAAACACAAACAATGATTTATACAAGGGCAATATTTGACAGAAGAATGATCAGTTTGAAACTATTTGGTATCCTCATAGATGGATATTGTGCTAGAACAAGTAGAAAAACATTGAAATAGAAAGCAGATCAATGGGGGTGAACCCTATGGTTTACTTTTGCACTTCCCCAGCTCATTAAACTTTCCATGGACCCTCCCCTTAATGCAGAAAAGGTTACTGCAACTATCCGTGCTAACAGTGGTGGTTACCCAAATAAAAGCAATAATACTACGCTGTACAAAAAGTATGAAAGTATGAGGAAAATGTATTTCAAGTATAAGGAGTAAAAAGTAGTAATTGCAGATTTTTTTTTTTTAAATATGTTAAAAATAAATTAAAGTATTCATAAGGAAATGCAGCAAATCTCAACATTTGAAAAGCTGGAACTGTGAAATTTTTGTACAAAAAATGACATAAAAATAACTGGCCAACATTTTTTTTGTCAACCTCTTCATTGTTTTAGGTGTACCTAAATATAACATTGGATAGTTTAATCTTCATCCATACATATTATTTCAAAAGTTCTGTATTCGTTTTGTGTCTTAAAATCTGAATCCATACAGTAACTAGTTAATAAAGCTATGAAATAAATGTAAAGTAAAAAGGACAATATTTCACTTTGAAATGTAGTGGAATATAGGGTTAGTGCACATGAAGAAAATACTTAATTAAAGTCGAGGTACCTTAAATTTGAACAGAATTAAAGTAAATATACTTTATTACATTTCATCACTTCCTGCTAATATTTCTTAAACAAGATAAATCGATTCAATAGTTACAACCCATAAAATGATAGGATCCCCCATATTGCACATGCAATATGGCATTTATTATTCGCATCTGTGTTAAAGAAGGAGGACAGACTGACCCAGTGATGTAACTGTTGGTATTTTCCCAGAGTCTGATCCCTGTGATTGGTCCATTTTCATTTTCTGTGGAGAATGCCGTGCCTCCACCACCACCAACAGCGGGGGAGAAGGAGTACTGAGGCAAGGGAGCTGGAGAAGTAAAATATGTATTATGTGAGAGGAAGCCATATGCTTATATACAAATATCTTATTTAAATCTTTATATCTTACCTGTCATGCAGCTGGCCCAGAGCACCGCAAGGAACAGGAAGGAAAACATTCTGGTGGGTGAATGAGTCCAGAACAACACTGAAATCTAATGAAAGAATTAATCAAAACATCATAATGATCAAATATCCGTCAACATTTCTTTAGACAAAAAAACAGTCTGACATTCTTCTTTGGAAGCAACAATCTGTACATGAACCAGCCAGTGTGAATTATAATAAAGGCATTGGAATTTAAATGAACTCTACCCGTTAACACAGTAAGATGCTAATACATTTTATTTGAAAGTCCATTTTCAACAACTGCACAGATGCTCACCTGCAAAGTAGATCTCCTGAAACCAGCTTAAGTCCTGAGCAAAGTGTGAGATGACACTAGAAGACTGGCACTTATATATGTTTATACACACACACACACACACACACACACACACACACACACACACACACACACACACACACACACACACACACACACACACACACACACACACACACACACACACACACACACACACACACACCCACACACACATTCTTACATGACAGTCTTTGAAAGTTGAACAATAGCAGACTAAGTGTCAGATGACATAGTGATGACCATATTGTTTAGTCTCACACACTTACAGGAAAAATAGTCATCTGTGCTTTACCATGCTAAACCAGTTTGGTTTCTTCCGTATCTTCCATTACAGTTTTTCTCGATTGCTAACACACTAAAATTATACATAAAGCACAATTATTTTAACTGACACTCAAAGAGCAAAACATCGGCTCAAATGGCACTTTTTGCAAACCACTGCACACGTTTCTCCACGTAAGACACAGGAATCTGACATAAAGTCACGTGTTAGCAGGTTTAAAACACTGATATTCAAAATGCCTCACACATGGACCAATGATCAAGAAACACGTTCCACCTGACCAAACACCTGATTGCATAATTGTTCAACCAATTGTTGGCTCATCCATCTGGATGTTATAAAAAGACCACAGGTGAGTACTTTCTTACAGCAACAATTGAAGCCAACATGGAAGCAAGAGGAAGAGGAAGAGGTGGGGTGAGAGTGAGAGGAGGAAGAATGAGAGGTAGAGGTAGAGCTGGAGGGAGAGGACGTGGACAAAGAAGAATACTCTCTAATTAAATGAAATGTTATCAACCATGGTTTGACGTTGAGAGAGGCTGGACAGAGGGTTCAGCCTAATCTAAGCCGATTTACTGTTGCCTCTGTAATCCGGACACTTAGACTTGACAACAGGTTAGTTACCAGTTTTTAGCTCTGCATAATTCATGATATATCAGTGCTTATATCTGTTGTGTGAAACGTATTTACTTCATTACTGTAATTGAATTGTTGGCATGTTGCATACATTACTGTGGTAAATGTACCTTTATGCAACACAGACACTGACCAACCACTATATCTTTGTTGTTTATCTGAAGGACTGAGAAAAAAAGAGGTGCAGGTGGAAGGCTAAGGATTTTCAATGAGGCACAGGAAGCAGCAGATACAAACTGGGTTTTGTCAAACAATGCATCACACTTAGAGAGATCCGAAGCATAGTAACTATGTGCTGAGATGCATGTTGCACAATGTTATTTTTGAATAAAATATGATTTTTTTCATCAACTAATTTGTATTTCTTCATTTACTGTATTTCTGTATACTCAAGCAATCTTTCTCTGCAGAAACCTCTATATACAGAGCATAGACCATACAAGATGAAAGTGCTTTAGATTATGCGAAGCAGTGTGTAGTTGGGTGGTCAAACAATGTAGTATTATGAATGAAGTGTGTTATATTTGGTGCAAAAGTTTGCATTTGGTAAGTGTTTATGTAGTTTTGAGTGCAGTTCTTAATTTAGCAGGAGAAATTAGGTGTTTTGCACTTTGGGTGTGTGGTTTTGTGAATTGTGTTTAGTGTTCTGAGAAACTGAGCAATTTAAAAAAGAATGTGTGTTAGCAATCGAGAAAAACTGTAATGTCCTACAGCAGGGGTACTCAAATACAAATCTTAAAGGTCCAAAAAAAAAATGTCAATAAGACAAATGTCCGTTTATTACGGTCATTCAAACTTTTAAACAATTGCAACAAGATTCTTAACACGAGGTTGCAAAAACAAAAATAATCTGTATGCAGCAGTTTTCATTGTTATTGTGTCTGTGCTTGATCCCTCAGAGTCGCAGTGTAAGAGCTGCACAGTTATGAATAAAGGCAGCTGCACCCTCTTTCATTCAGCATTCCCATTATTGCTTTATAAATGTCTTGCCCCCTTGTGTGTCCACTGAGGTTCGTCAGGCCCAACACATCTTCAACAAACTCCCCCTTTGCCTCATCATAAAAACTCACAAACACCAGCAACTGAGCATTGTCAGTGGTGTCAGTGGACTCATCCACAGCTAAGGAAATGCACTGTGCATTTTGTATTCCATCACAAAGCTGATTAATCAAATCACCAGCCAGTATTTATGTTCTTCTGGTTGCTGTGGAATCTGAGAGGGGGATTTGCTTGATTTGACCTGTTATTTCCTCTTTTTGTTTGCCTTCAAACATGGTCTCCATCACTTCAGTCATGCATTCTTTTATACTTCAGTTATTATCCAGTGGAATGTCCTTACCTACTGGCCTAGTTAAATCAAAGTGGTTACTTTTTTTTGGCTGGGCAGTGTAGTTTTACACACCGTCTTATGTGACTTTCTCAGGACTTAAAACTGTTTTTTGGGGGCAGACCCCCACAAAGAAAAAAATATATTTACACACGTAAATCAAATCAAATCAAATCAAGGTTTATTTATAAAGCACATTTAAAAGCGATTTTTGGTCGGGCCAAAGTGCTGTACATGTAATAACTACAATCACATAAAAACACATTTCTATAATCACAATAAAAGACAATAAATTACAACAGATATTTAAAAAGAAAACACAGGGTTAAAGTTAGGAGTCGTGCTTCGCTCTGACTAAAAGGCCAGGGAGAAGAAGTGTGTCTTTAGAGTAGCTTTAAAAACCCCTAGGGTCTGGGCCGACCTCACATGGAGGGGCAGAGTGTTCCAGAGCCTCGGGCCAGCTGCTGCGAAGGCTCGGTGCCCTCGGGTTTTGAGCCTGGTCTTGGGCACTATCTGCAACAGCTGGTCAGCAGACCTTAAAGCTCTTGTTGGGGTGTAGCGCTGGAGGAGTTCAGCTATATAGGCCGGAGCCAGCCCATTTAATGCTTTAAAAACAAATAAAATGAGTTTAAAATCAATTCGGAACCGAATTGGAAGCCAGTGCAGTGAGGCCAGAATTGGGGTGATGTGGTCACGCTTTTTGTGGCCAGTGAGTAGACGTGCAGCTGCGTTCTGGACTAGCTGCAGGCGTTTAATTGACGCCTGGTCCATACCCACGTACAGAGCGTTGCAGTAGTCCAACCTCGAGGTAACAAAGGCATTAATAACCCTTTCCAGGTCCTCAAACGATAAAAACGACTTAGTCTTGGCCAATAGTCGTATTTAAAAAAAGCAGGTTTTGACTACGCTGCTGACCTGCTTATCGAATTTAAAAGCGCTATTGAAGGTTACTCCAAGGTTCGTGACAGAGGGGATATTATTTTTGAGAGAGCCCAGAATATCAACCTGGGAGGCTAGAGGTTGGGGTCCAAAAAAGATAACCTCAGTCTTGCTCTCATTGAGGTTGAGGAGATTTTGGCTCAGCCAGGATTTGATCTCTGCTAAGCAGTCCATAAATAGCTGTAATGAGTTAACATTTGAATTGAGTGGCAGATAGATCTGTACATCGTCGGCGTAGCAGTGGAAGGGGATGTTGTGTTTTGTGAGAATTGAACCTAGGGGCAGTATGTACAGTAGAAAAAGGATGGGGCCCAAAATCGAGCCTTGGGGAACCCCACAGGTAAGAGGGGCTATGGCTGAGGAGAAGGCACCTAGCTGCACTGAGAAGCTACGGTCTGTCAGGTAGGACCTGAATCATGCAAGGGCAGAACCTGTGATGCCAGCGGACTGTTCAAGCCGTGACAACAGGATGCTATGGTCCACAGTGTCGAAGGCAGCTGTCAGGTCTAACAGCACCAAGACAGCTGGGCTACCTGAGTCGGCGGCTAGGAGCAGATCATTAAAAACTCTTAAAAGGGCTGTTTCAGTACTGTGCATGGGTTTGAAGCCAGACTAAAACTTTTCATGGATTCCATGCGTGGTTAAAAAAGACTGCAGCTGGGCGTAGACTACTCGCTCCAGGGCTTTTGATAAAAAAGGTAGCTGGGAGATGGGCCTAAAATTTGCGAGAATGGAAGGGTCGAGATTTTTCTTTTTAAGTAGTGGCTTAACCACGGCATGTTTGAAGGCAGCTGGGACACATCCTGAGCTAAGAGAGGTATTTATAAGTAATAAAACACTTGCTCCAACTGATCCTAAAACATCTCTGAGAAGGCGAGAGGGAATGCTGTCTGAGGTGCAGTTTGTCGGCCGCAGGTGCTTGACTACATCCGAGAGAGAAGAGAGGGATACAGGCTCAAAGTGGTCGAGGACAGCAGGGCACAGAAAAGGAGCAGGATCTGGGGTAGCACTAGTGTGGGCTAGCCTAAGAGCAGATACTTTTTCAATAAAAAATGTAAGAAACTTATCACAGAGAGCAGTCGATGGCACAATTGGAGGAACATCACAGGGATTAATGATAGAGTTGAGGACATTAAAAAGAACTTGAGGTTTATGGCTGTTTTTGGAGATTAGCAGAGAAATGTGCTCTGTTTTGGCTGCTTTGACTGCCGTCTGGTAGTCAGAAAGGCAAGCACGAAGGATTTCTAAGGAGACATGGAGTTTATCCTTTTTCCATTTTCTCTCTGCACGCCTGCATGTGCTTCTAAGAGCGCGAGTACAATCATTGAGCCACGGCTCTGAGAGAACTTTGGTGCGTCTAAGCGTAAAAGGAGCAACAGAATCCAGTATTAGTGTACATGTCGAGTCAAACATGGAGATAAGCTCATCAGCACTAAAAACACAGTTCACCTCTAATTTACAGATAGGAGAAGCATTAAAAACATCAGAAAACTGTGAGGCAGTCAAGGGGTTAATCGAACGCAGACGACGCGCAGGGGCACGTGATTCGACTCCTGCGGAAGGGATCGAGGTTGTAAACAGAACCGGTAAATGGTCTGAGATACGCGTTGCTGCACATATTTCATCCACAGATACAGACAGTCCAAACGATAATACTAAGTCCAAGGTGTGTCCTTTTTCGTGTGTTGGGCCAAAACACGATCATATTTCACCATGATCCCGGACAGAAAGTCAGAAAAGTCATTTATAAAATCCTTATTGCACTTTGGCGGACGATACACGACTGCGCAGAGTATAGGCGAGGCCGGGTTCAGTTCAAAAAGCTGCAACTCAAAGCTAGCATAGCTAGTTACAGGGTGAAGCAATCGGCATTGGAGGCTAGCTCTAAACACTGATGCTATGCCCCCACCATGGCCGGTGGCACGGGGGGAGCTGAATAATGTACAGTCAGGAGGAAGAAGTTCAGAGAACGGTGTAGACTCGCCAGCGTGGACCCAGGTCTCCGTCAGGAACATAAAATCCAGTTCACGAGAGGTGAAGAAGTCGTTTAGCAGGAACGTTTTGTTTGCTATCGACCTAGCATTTAGCAAAGCCATGCAAAGTTTTCGCTCCGGGCTTGCCGAAGGTGTAGTGCGTCTCAGCTGACGAAGATGTGCGTGTTGAACGCCGCGCGGGCCGGGAGCAGTCAGTCGGGCAGGAGGAGCTGCCAGCGGGCCCAGCAGAGTCCGCAGCTCTGGAAAAACAGGGCGAATCCACCGATCCCTCACATGGCGTGCAGCGGGAGGGCCATGACATCCGAGGCGTGGATAAGTCCCAGAAGAAGCCGTCAGGTATGCCTTAAGATGGACCAGTGCACCACCACGCTTTCCCCGTCGTCTAAAGCGCTTTCGGCGAGGCAGGATGCAGGGCAACCGGCGCAGGTAGGTGGGAATATTCGACAGTAGACGGGGGGGGGGACGATTTATGGTTGCCAGATGTAGGTTTGGGCAGCAATATCAACTCCAGTGAGGGTCTGAGGTGGAGGAGAGCTTGGCGATCGTAAACGAGCAGAGCAGAGACATTCTGACAAACATAAAACAAAAACAGGATAGCTAAAGGGAGAGAGCTGAGGGAGCGGCGAGCCGACACAGGCGCCATCTTGAAACAACAGAATCATCGTAAGGACACGTAAGGTCATCATCTTAACAGTTTTGTATGCTCATCCGTGAGCAGAGCATCAAGTTGACATATCTATTACAGCTGAATGCGGCGATTACCATTTTGTTCAGCAAAACGCCACACAAACGTATTAAGATTTAAAGCTTTAGTGCGTTTTGATTCAATGCTGAGTACAGCCAAACTTGACAGTCTCTTCTCTGTCATTGTAGACCGCAAATACCTCATTCCTTCCGTGTACTTGGGTCCGAATGCTTCTCGTTTTGCGCTGTCCCCCCGTCCAAATGAAATCGCTGCCAATCATATTTACATTCAAGGCTCGCGTCTTGTGCTGCATTCACTTGCACTCGGACATTAGAGATTTTCTCTCATAAATGTCCGATGAGCCACAACTTTTCTTTCAAAACAAAGCTGCCAACTGGGGTGGCAGCTGGGGTGGCAAGGCATTTTTCTGAGGTGGCAGCTGCCACCCCGTGCCACCCCGTAGAACCGCCACTGACCCCTACACCTTACCTCTACACACTTCTACTAGTGGGGAATAGGAGTGGGTTATCAAGCCCCCCAACAGCAAGACTGCATCAGTCCTGACTAACCACCTGCACTACCTGACCGGACACATGATGAAACACGCTGTTTACTGTACAAACTGCTCCATGCAAACATTTACTGGAAAACCACGCAAAACAAGAACCACTTCATGGTTGTGAACATGCACAATTCTGAAAATGTCAAACTATTCCTTTAAGTAGGTCATGCTTGTTTTTGAAGACCATTTGCAGAATTTGACATTTTCACATATGCAGAAAACGACTTAAACATTATTCCTTCGACAACATATTTCTTAACCTGTTAAAAAGTGTCCTCATCACACTGAGCTTATTGCCAGCCACTCAAATGTGTAGGTGGCTGGTAATACATTTGTGAGTTTGTGTTTGTCTCATGACAGCAAATGAGGTTCTGCGGAAACCTACTGTAGCAGGAACTACCAGAGAAGATGTGACCATGGTATACAGAAATGAGTTAGAGACATTGAGTATATACTTTGTGTGGAAGACCAGAGTGTGTTTCTTTATATACAACCAACTTGCTTTTTCTTTTTCTTTTTTATTTGTAAGTCAAAAGAGAAAAAGAGTACCTTACAATGCAACAAAATGTAATGAGGCTGAGGCAGAACATCACGTTACAATCACAGTCATTTGCATACATGTTGTCATCCTTACAGTGGGCATTCCTACAACCAACTTGCTTTGGATTTGTTTTTTTTAATTCATTTTGCATAATAGCCACAATGTCAAACGTGCGGTAATGGGGCTGAGATTGAACATCACATTAAAATCTAAATGATTTGCATACATGTTGTCATCCTTACAGTGGGCATTTCTAAACCTATATGAGGTAATTATTAAATAAAAGTCATCACCGCTTTGTTTCCTTCATTGCTGTATAAGTGCAAACGGTTTTAATTAAAACACCGCTATTTCCAAGTATTGTCTATAAAGTACAGGTTTAGTAGATCCTGTGTGTTTCACTTCACCACACAGAGTCAGAAACTTAGCTTCTCCATTAATAAACCAGAGGTATTGATACATACAGCGATATAATATTATCATATTAAACAAACCTTATTTCATATTATTCCATGATAAAGATAAAGGTTGATTATTCCCAGTTCCTGGATCAGTCCTGGTTGGTGCTGTTGTATTGAGCCTGGGGGACGGCCCAGTGAGCAGCAATCGAAAGGAACCCTGCAGTGTTGTGGGTGCCGCTCAAAATCACTAGCTCTTGGCCCGGGTGGGACGGGTAGAAGTTAAAGGACTTCTGTAAGAGATCATCAACAAGTTATCATTAAAGATCAGAATACTTCTTCCATCATGGTGTAATTGAAACAAACACAAATTGTAGAGGAAGGTATTTACTTGAATGGGCTGGCCGACAATCAGAGAACGCCCACTGGAGGTCACGAAGATCAGCTGATAGATGTAGTTGGTGTGGTATTTCCCAGAGACCTGAAACATGTCCGTGAGAGCACAATGACATGTTAGTGCGTGTGGTTTGTCCCCAGTGAGTAAACAAATGATGTTTGTTTTTTTAACGATAGATGAATATAGTGTTATTAAATACAGTACAGTACTAATTAAAAAAATACTACTATTCATATTTAGCCAACCTTTATTACAGATGATGTGTATGATCTTTAGAAAGTGTGTTTATAAATGTCAATACATAGTACAATGCATTATCTTGTCAATGTTCAATGTATTACTTTAATATTATAAAGTCTCTCACCTGAATAAAGGACTCTCCTTCATTCAGGATCAGCTCTTGTACAGAGTTCACTTCACGACCAACCCTTTGTCCCCAACCAAATCCATAGCGCAGCTGCAAACTGCAAGGACACAGTCAGGAGTGAGGAAACACAAACAATGATATATACAAGGGCAATATTTGACAGAAGAATGATCAGATTGAAACTATTTGGTATCCTCATAGATGGATATTGTGCTAGAACAAGTAGAAAAACATTGAAATAGAAAGCAGATCAATGGGGGTGAACCCTATGGTTTACTTTTGCACTTCCCCAGCTCATTAAACTTTCCATGGACCCTCCCCTTAATGCAGAAAAGGTTACTGCAACTATCCGTGCTAACAGTGGTGGAAGAAGCATTCAGATCCTTTAGCTAAGTAATTAAGCACTAATACTACACTGTAAACATACTCCATTACAAGCAAAAGTACTGCCTTGAGAATGGTACTTAATTAAAATTATTGAAGTATAATCAGGAATAGGTTTTTTAAGTATAAAGTAGCCATTGTAGAAAAAACTTTAACAAATATAAATAAATGAAAGTATTCATAAGGAAATGCAGCAAATCTCAACATTTGAAAAGCTGGAACTGTGAAATGTTTTTACAAAAAATGATATAAACAAAAAGCAAAATAACTGCAAATAACCTTTTTGTCAACCCGTTCATTATTTTAGGTGTACCTAAATATAACTTTGGATAGTTTAATCTACATCAATACATTCAAGACAATATTTCACTTTGAAATGTAGTGGTTGGTATAATGTGGCACATAAAGAAAATACTTAAGTAAAGTACAAATACCACAAATGTACAGTATTTAAGTTAATATACCTAATTACATTTCACCCTTGCCTGTTAATATTTTCTTCAATAAAATAAATGAAATCAATTACTACAACTCAGGAAATTATAGAATTAAGTGGTGCAGGAATAATTCAGATTGGTGCACCTTTTGCTAACATCACCCATACAATCTAGGGTTACAACAAAACCTACAGACAGAAATACAGTGGAGTGACATGTTTTTCTGAACATTAGACCTCCATTTTTGTTTTCTGTGTGTGCTTCTTTATTGCTTCATTCTTAGACTGGTAACTAACCCTTACCCTCACCTTCTTTCAAAAGAACCTTGTATCACTCGCCCTTCAGCTTAAATAATATATGCACAATGTTAGACCCTCTTTAACTTCCATACAGTTCTTAGAATTTGTGTTAAAGAAGGAGGACAGACTGACCCAGTGATGTAACTGTTGGTATTTTCCCAGAGTCTGATCCCTGTGATTGGTCCATTTTCATTTTCTGTGGAGAATGCCGTGCCTCCACCACCACCAACAGCGGGGGAGAAGGAGTACTGAGGCAAGGGAGCTGGAGAAGTAAAATATGTATTATGTGAGAGGAAGCCATACTGCTTCGGCATTGGTTCTGATAGCAACGTTTCTGATAGGTCCGTGGGCGTAAAGCCAGCCCACATTACGTCATATTGGACGCCAATCTGGATCAGCTCCGTTGTTCCCGCGTTTTTAGAGATTTGCACACGGAGGAAAAGAGAGAGGGTTGTATTTTCTGACACTTTGTGAGTTCCCTGAGACACCGGGGACACATATTTATGTATAAAAAACATCAAAAAGTGCATTTTGCATGATAGGTCCCCTTTAAATCTTTATATCTTACCTGTCATGCAGCTGGCCCAGAGCACCGCAAGGAACAGGAAGGAAAACATTCTGGTGGGTGAATGAGTCCAGAACAACACTGAAATCTGATTAAACAATTCATCAAAACACCATAATGATCAAATATCCGTCAACATTTATTTAGATAAAAAAACAGTCTGACATTCTTCTTTAAGAAGCAAAAACCCTCTGCATGAACAAAAGCCAGTGTGAATTATAATAAAGGCATTGGAATTTAAATGAGCTCTACCCGTTAACATTACATTACATATCACTGAGCTGACGCTTTTATCCAAAGCGACTTACAATAAGTGCAAAAACCATAAAAATTCAAACTCCTAACAACAAAGAAAGTGATGATATATTCACTTCAAGCAAGATCATACCATGCTGGTGAATAAGTTACAAGGCCTAAACTAACAAAAAAAAGTCAGCTATAATTTAATTGCCAAGGTAAAATCGAAATAGATGTGTTTTCAGATGTGCATAGTTTCTGCAGTAAGATGCTAATAAAGTTGATCTGAAAATCCATTATCAACAACTGCACAGATGCTCACCTGCAAAGTAGGTCTCCTGAAACCAGCTTAAGTCCTGAGCAAAGTGTGGGATGGCACTAGAAGACTGGCACTTATATATGTTTACACACGCACGCACGCACACACGCACGCACACACGCACGCACGCACGCACACACGCACGCACGCACACACATGCACAGACAGACACACACAAAGACATTATGATGACATTTTCTTTGGGTTTAACATACTTACGGGTAAGGACAGCCCCTGTGCTTTACCGAGCTAAACCAGTTTTGTGAAGCGGTTTGCAATCACAACTTGAAGACACTTGAAGTTACTTTACATCTTTATTGGCTGATAGACTTGACCCAGTTTTCATGAAAAAGTAGATACTACATAATACATTTATATTGTATAGGGCTTTTCTTGGTGCTCAAAGCGCAGTTTAACGTTTATTCTGGACCTTAGAGAAAGCATGGAAGATATATTCTTTAAGTGGGCATCTCTATCTGCAGGTAGTATTATGTGATATAATAGGAGTCTTAAAAGCTGCTAAATGGTCCATAAGGTGTTTCGTTAAGATGCTTTGTACATTTTTCTGGGTGCATCCCAAAATTCCGCCCCAAAATAAAATCTTACACTAACAAACAACAAATAAAGACATGATATAGTATAGTTGTGTTTGTTAATCTCAGGCCTGCTTGTGTGTTTTTAATTGCTACATGGCAAGTATTCAAATGTGTGAAGACACTTTTGGATTTACATTAAGTTAAAGTTAAATGTAATTTATAAATGAATCAAACCTTCATCACAAATATAGGCCTTTTTAAATGGCCAAAAATCATATAAATTTGGAAGTTTGGTAAACCAAAAAATGTAATTCTTCTGTTAAAACAGAAACTAAACATGTTCCTCAGTGACTTGAACCAGGAAATGACATGCTGGGAAAGTTCCACAGCCGTGTTTCAATGGTTCAACTGGAATAACCTTTGTTATCATTATACACACACTTCCCAACAACATCACTTCCTGGTTTCGGATATGTTCCATGTACATGGAAATAAAAGAATGATAATACAAATAATAATATATTAAACATTTTCCTCAGATCATGTTTGTGCATTTGTTTTATTTCTTACCTCCCTTTTGTTTCTTTTTCGCCTCTCCCTCTCTTCTTCCTTTTTAATTTAGTTGTTACCTTTTTATTTTAACATCTTTTTTCTCTGATGCTGTCCCCTGTTACCTATCTGTGTACTTTTAATGTTTTGCCAACCAATGACGTCTGTTGTTGACTTTATAATGTATTTTTCAGTCCAAATTAACCACCTGTGTGTCCACAAAATGGTGAATAAAGGGAAACAAGATATACAAATAACAAAAAAGTAAATCCATAAATGAGAATGATCATGGCAGTAGTTGGTGTAGTATTTATTGAATTCATTTTATTGTGCATACTTTGTGAAAAAGAATTAAACAAATTAAAAAGGGAACATTATTGAGGAAGGGGCAAGGAAAAATGAAGGTGCTAGGGTGTCTATAGTGTTACAATATGAAGCGTATTTGTCACAATGCCACAAAAATTACTGGCCTGGATCATAACACTATTTTGTAATAATTTAATGGCTACCTATCGGGAGAACTTTAACCTGAACGATTAAGTTCATTTTGTCTATCGACCGCAGAAAAACATTATAAAAGTCCCTGACGGTAAACACGTCTGACGTCAGCCATGTGAGAATGTTTTACGGTAAATGCTTTCAGAGATAGCCAGAGCTGACGTTGGGCATGAACCCAAGAAATACCTTCTATTACACGCAAAGTAAGAAAGAGAGGAAGGAAAAGTTCAAAGGGCATTTGAAAAAACGATCCGAAGAGAAGACCAAAGTTTGACATGACCATTTTTTATAATATTTCTTCTGCAGTTCTATCACTCTAGTTCTATTCCCATTCCTCCTGGCATGATGTCAGCTTGACAAAACCATTGTTTGTTGACAAATGTTTAATCAAATTGCACTTCCATTAAGCACCGGCAATGAAACCTGTTAAATATTTTAAAACCTGTTGCAGTGGCAAGAATTCATTTGGGTTGCATGCCTGTCCCAGTGGGTGTGTCTGAGTGTACGTGTGTGCGTGTCTTTGTGTGTGTGTGTGTGTGTGTGTGTGTGTGTGTGTGTGTGTGTGTGTGTGTGTATGTGTGTGTGTGTGTGTGTGTGTGTGTGTGTGTGTGTGTATGAGTCTTAAAAAATGCTCTCATCTATGGAGCTAATTTCCTGCCATAACTCCACAAACAAACTAAACAGGTTTTACAAATGCCTCATGATTCATTAACAAACACAATGTGGTTTGCAAATACAAAACACCATCTACAAACTAATGCATTTAGTTTTGCAAAGAAAAAACGTATCTATCAAACAAACAAATAAAATGTTTCTAATAAATCATGTTTCAGAGACAAATTCAGCATAGGTTTTACAAGTACACAACTTGATTTTACAACTACAACACTTTTTTTTACAAGTACAAAACTTTTTCTTCTCACGGCGGAATATTACTGCCAAAAGTCACGTGAGTGAGTCACGTGACTTTTGGCAGTAATATTCCGCCGTGGTTGTGCTCAGAGCCGTATGCGCTGGTTGTGCTCATACACACCAAGCCCCCAGGAAGTGCGCCGGACTCAGATGAAAATATTCGTGCCGGCCAAACGGCGGTACTACACTTCCTTTTGGTTGCCAGGCCCGGAAACACTTTTTCCCATTGACTTACATGGGGAAAGAGTGGTCTGTAAATCGTTGGATAATCTTTTTTAAACTAAATAAACTACCCAGTATGAACACTTGTATAGCCCTTATTAAAAACATTCGTTCCTCAAGTTGTAAAAATGTGCTAATAATGTTATTCTGTGAGTTATTTCCCTCTGCATTATGAACGCGATCCTGTTACAGCGTAATATAAAAGTACATAACGATTGATGTGTAAATTAGCATAATTACTAGCTAACCGCTAGCTGCTAACTGCCGCCTCGTTAATATCAAATCTATCATAATAACAACCCATTACCATGCTGTCATGAACGTGCGGTGCTGTTACGTGTACGCAAATTGACGTGCTTGATGTGAACGAGCATTTTGGGGGGCATGGTTAAAGTTGCGCATGCGCTATGAGTGCACATACGGGTACTTCTCAGGCATGCCGGGTAATCTGTGACGTTTTGCTCTCTCTAAAGTTGGGCCATTTTATCATCATGCGCGAATGAGCAACTCTCATAGGAATGAATGAGGCCCCGCCTCCCACGCTGTATCCAGTTCTTATTATACATCCATGATACACACTCACACATGCTCACTCACACATGCTCCACGGCAGCAGGGGGCGCTACTGAGTCCATTGGGAAGGTGGGAGGTTGAGCAGAGCATGGAACAGCCCTTGCCAGCCTGATGACAGCCGTGTTTCTAGCGATCCAGCGATCTGAATTTAGCGATCACAACGAAAACAGCCAAGACACATATTGAGCCCAGAAAATGAATGTTATTAGGGCTGTAAATATAATAAGCCTTTGTCTAAAATGGACAACATTGTAACTAAGGAGATTTAAACTATACAGCGATTCTGCACTCGGTCAATCAGCTGCTCTTCATTTTCTTTCCTGCTACAGTATATTCAATGAGTGATACAAATATTTTTTACCATACGTTCTGAATAAAACTGATACTGTTGGACTCAGTACTAGTACCACAAGTACTATGAAGTACTTTTACTGTGTACTTTTTGAGTAATCCTCTGTCAATGTCCCCTCCTGAGTACAATAATGCATGTTTCTCTGCTATTTTGAATAAGCGTTAAAACACCTTTCTTATGAGACTGATATTGTTGGACAGAGTACTTTAAGAGGATGGTTGACATGATATCAGCAATACTTCCAGTCAGTACTCCAGCAGCAGCATTTTTACCCCTTGGAAAGTCTTTAGAGTCTGGCCTGGATAGCTGGTCACTAATGGCGCGTTTCCACTACAGCGCGGAGCACGGTTTAAGAGGGCTGTGACGTCAGCAGCCCGTTTTTGGTTGCGTTTCCACTTGGCCTAGTACCGGCCGGCGGGTCCTAATTCACAGTTTTTCTGGCTTCATAAAATCGTGGGTCTAGGGCCAGAGACAACGAGGCTGAGTCGGGCTGAGTATGCTAAACTAGAGAGAGAATCGCTGGCAAGGGGGCTACAACTACAACAAGATGGACATATTTGACCGTGATTTAATTGTAATACACGTTTCAAAATGATGCCGAAGTAACAACATACTGATACCGGTTAGTAAAAACCATGAATTAATGCTTTGACAAGTCTGCAGACAGACGGCAGGCGAAAAACCTTTTAAAATGCGTGTTTTCTAAATGGAGATTGGCTAAGCTAACGCAGTATATGCTCCGACCGTCCACACTCACAACAACGGCCTATACAGACATAAATAAAGCAGCGACTGTATTCGCCATGACACAGGCAGTCTGTGGTTTGTACTTGTTTAACTTTTGTCTAGTTTCTGAACATATATGAGGAGCTGTGAGCTCTGCTAACAGCTAACGGCTGTGTTGTTTTTCTGGGGTTCTCATCGAAGATGACGTCACGGCTCCGCCTACACTGCGTTACTATAGAGTGGCGAAGTCCCTCCCACTTACTTCCGGGGTATGGGACCTTATTCCGGAAAAGTTATGCATTGAAGTCAATGGGGAGAGAAAACTTATCTTTCGATCCCGTTTGAATTGTGCCATGAATTACACATATGATGTTTGTCAATCTTAAAAAATCATTTCCATGTCAAAAAAGTCACAGTTTGTCGTAAAACTGTTGAAATATAAGACTATGAAAAATACGTAACTAGAAAGACTACAAATCCCAGAGTTGCGTAAGTGATGTCACAATTGTTTACCTCCACCATTCAGATACCTAAAATCAGCGCAATATAGATATAATCTATCTATATGGCGCTGGCTAAGATAAGATAACTTTAACAAGATGCCTGTGTGCTTAGTACCAGGTTGTTATTATACCAGCAATGGGTCTTGCTCGTTCTTTTGCTTCCCGTCTGATGAAACGACCAGGAGTGGCTTGATCAAGTTAGCTACCTAGCTAGTAGCTAG